ACACACACACACACACACACACACACACACAGTGATTCTCCTTTCTCCCACGAGGCGGCTGTATCCCATAATGCACCGTGAAACGTCACCAGCCGAACATATACTCCATCGCTTTGGAGACTATGCTGTTGTCCTTCCTGGGCGTCTGTCTGTCTGCTACCACCTGAAGACGGACACACAGAGTTTTATTTCTCAAGTTCCTGTAAAACTGTAAAATAGAGCCAGAGTGAGTCCTGGGGTCAGAGGTCACCTGGTAGTCGCTGCTGGAGCTCCTGTAGGCGGCGCTGAGCGGTCTGATGGCCGAGCGAGGAGTGGAGGGGAGGGCAGAGGAGAGGGGAGGGGAGACGGCTTCGCTGCTGTCCATCACACTCTGAGAGAGAGAGAGAGAGAGAGAGAGAGAGAGAGAGAGAGAGAGAGAGAGAGAGAGAGAGAGAGAGAGAGAGAGAGAGAGAGAAACAACTTCACTCAAGTTGTCACCTGACGAGTCGGACCAATCAGACGGCAGAGAAACGGACCAATGGGTGAACAGATACTGACCTTGTCTATACAGGGTTTCACTCCCACCATGATGGCATCACCGAACACTTTTCCATCCTTCGACAGAGCTTTCCTGGCCTGAAGCCTGGACTGATAATGAAGGTGCATCCAGTTACCAGGAGACGCCATCTGTCAATACATCGTCAACATATATAATATATATGTGAGATCTGAGTTTCTGGAGCCCTGCTCTCTTTCAGCATCACATGATTCAGCAGCGACCTGTCGCAGCAGATTTGTGAACAAAAACCAGTGAAGTGCGACTCAAACTGTTCCTCCGTCGCACTGGTGCACCAAACATTTAGCTGGTGAGTGTATGTGATGGAGTTTCCACTCACACACAGGCCCCGCCCCTACTCGCCCACACAGCGAGGCGGAGATGAGGAGGTGAACGAGACGGTTAATGTTGAACAGTGCGAACAAAAAGTGATTTCAACGACGGATCGCTAAAACAAACACTGACCTGAGATCAGTTTACATTTTAACTACAAACACCAACACTCATCACAAGTTATTAGAACCTGAACAGAACTCAAGTTTAATTTGTGTTTGATTGGCTCCAGAGTTTGAGACACAAATTTATACACAGTGAAAATCTGACGAACATTTACTAACGCACCAGGTGAGAGGGTTCCTCGTTCAGTGTTCAGCTTTAGTTCTCTGCTGCTGCACCGTAATGGAAGCGTTATGAGAACCGGTGCAACCAATGGGAAGGTTAGTCTGGAGTCCTGTGGGGTGAAGCCCCGCCTCTCACACAGGGTCAGCAGGGATTGGCTCCAGCTCCCTGCGACCCTCACAGGATAAGTGCTGCAGCTAATGAAAGGACAGTTCAGCAGTCACGGCACATTCCCTCCCAGACATGTGGACGCACTAATCTGACTTTTTCCATCCAGCTACTGCTTCAGAGACCTAAACTGATCTGAGGTCTGTGCTCTCTGTCCCAAAAGCTCAGTAAATGTGTACAGAGCTGCAGTTCACAGACGCTTGGACACAACAGACATATAGTTCTTTTCTCTCTCTCCGGTCTGCTCAGAGGAGTGAATGTGCAGTTGGTGCAGTTGTAGTGTAGCGGCTGAGCAGACAAAACAAATTGGTGGATATGCTGATGTCAGCACAGAGCCTCACAATCAACCTCAGTCCAACACACAGTCCAACACACAGTCCAACACTTGCCTAACACCATTATGCAATTTATGAGGCTGTGAGCATGTTAACTCTTAGAGGAGACACCGTTTTACACATGTGCACACCTGAGAGCTCAGTTAACACGTAATAACACACTAAGATAGAAGACTCTGTTTGTGTTACACTTGCATCTCACCGTGTGTTTCAGGATGTTTCCGTACTGAGCGAACTGCAGCAGGATGTAGGAGGCTGAAGCTGGAGGGAAACTGACACACACACACACACACAGTTATTATACTGCAAATACATGTACTGTGTATTAGTGTCATACTCTCTTCAGCAGTGCATCAGTTATTGAGAAATTAAAATACCCAAAGACGGTGACCCAGGTCTGATCCAGCTGATCGTCTGATGATAAAGATTCTCCCTGACTGTAAAACGGATCCACCTGAGCTGGAGACAGACACAGCTGCTGCACGCCTGCAGAGAGAGAGACAGAGAAGGACAAAGAAGGACAAAGAAGGACGGACAGGGACAGACAGGGACAGACTTACACTGAGTGGTCACTTTATCAGGGACAACTGTAAAATACTGCAAAGTCAGTACGACAGCTCTGCCTTAAATTCTACATTTACAAAATGTACAGTTGAGCTCCTGTTGAATTCTGGCAGATATTCAAAATATCAAAGTATTGTCAGAATGAATATTTTCCATAGCTTTCATTGACAGGTTGATAAATCAGATGGTTGTTTATTGTAGACAGAGAATTTTACCCTTGTGTGATAATTAATTGCACAACAGAGAAATCCAGTTCGTATTTTGATCCTTTAAAATCAAATCTTTCTACTATACATGCAGGTCATACAAAGGCAGGACAGGTTATCTATGTTAGTACTACTAGTGACATAGTAGTACTCACTAGTACTACTAGTGGGATAGTAGTACCAGCAGTAGTAATATTATCAGTCTGTACCTGCTCCTGCTCCTGTTCCTGGAGTTGAGGCCTGACGTGCGGACAGAGGGGACTGCATGACTGGGAAAGACTGAGAGAGACGGTTTGGTGTCATCAGTTCTGGTACAAATCACCTGGTTCAATGCAAAAACTGTTTTATTTAGAAATAAAACTGTGACACGTACTAACCTGTCTGTGAGCATTGAGGGGCGTTGCTATAGTAACCAGGTCATCACGGATACTGCGGACAGGGGGGGCTCCGCTTTTATCTTTGGGGGTGGGAACAACCGGCTGAGGGGCAGAACCTCCTCCTCCTCCTAAAATGAAAGACGGGAGACATTAACAACAATCAGCGGATCTGCAGGTGGGTGTGTCTTCTTGTCAACTTCCGGGCGAACCTGTGCTTTCCAGGATGGGCATGGAGAGGCTGAAGGGGCGTGGCTGCGGAGTAGTCGGAGCTGGCAGGTCGCCCATCAAAAAGCCGGGCAGGAACTGAGCTCCGGAGGTGGGCTTCGGAGAGGTGGGCGAGCCCAGGGTCATTGGTTCAGTTCCCACTGACAGAGAGACAGTTGGTTTGAAACAGGCGGCCACAGACAGAGTCAGTGGACAGATACTGAAGATGATGCAACAGGAACTCAACTACACGTTCTCCCACGTTAAACAAAGTGAACGTCAGTAACTGAAGTTAGACTTCAATTATCTTAAACCACAAAACAAGAATATCTAGGACAGAGATTATTACTCTCATTGATTCATCTGCCAATTATCGTTCTTCTGATTGATTCTCAAAACTATTTAAAATTAAATAAAGTTCTATCCTCAAATACCTTGTTTTCACAGCTGCTACTAAAAACTGTTACCACCACTGGTTCAATGATCAACTGTTTTATGAATGAAATATGAGAAATGACTTTTACACACTTTTCAAAAGGATGTTATATAAAACCCAGTTAACAGTCACACTGCCCAGAGAGTGAAGGGTTTAAACCAGTGGGGAGGATGATGATGATGATAATATAATAATAATTATAATTATGGAAGAAGCATCAACTTATTGACACATGTCAGCAGAATGGAATCAATCAACTTTAATGAAAAGCCGCAGCTAACCCTGAGCTAACCCTGAGCTAACCCAGAGCTAACCCAGAGTTACCCTGAGCTCTCAGATCGTTCATATTAGATCTATAGAGAGTTTCAGTGAGCTCTGTTACCTTGAAGCTCCATCTTCTCTGCTTCTTCTTTCAGGCCGCGATTTTCAAAAGTAGGAAATGACGCCGGGCACAGAGCTAGCCAGTTAGCAGGCTAATGCGGCTAGCAAAGCTAAGTGCTAGGCTGCTACTAAGTGTCCCAGAAGCTCACGGTTGGTGACGATGAAGCTGATGAACTGAAGCTGACAACACCCGGTGAGTTCCACAGGTTTGATATCTGGTGGAGCTGTTTGTTTCAGAGAAGCTGGAGACGTGGAGGGAAAGTGGGAGCACCGCAGCTAACACAACGACTTCCGGCACATTTAGACTGCGTCATGTCAAGAGGCGTTCAGGGAAGTCGGGTTTTATGCGTAACTTATGGAACGTGTGTATCTTTTTATTGGGCAGGTTTTCATTTTATTTTTTTAAAAGACACATGTACTTTTAAACGATTTGTACAACTAGTTTAGTTTCGCTCTATTTTGGGACTCAGGTCATATCAGTATATAAAAGAAGTACAATGATCCCACTTTGAGTTTCCACAGGGATTAAAAACACACTAAGACTTTATTTATTCATGATTAGTCATTTTGGAATTGGAAATTCAAGTCGATAGATATCTGGTCCCTTGTGGTTACAAAGGTGGCAGTAGACGGCACGGTCTGAATAACTTTAGAGTTCTTTAGATATTTCATGGCGTCGATGTATAAGTTTGTTCTTAGGAACATGAAAAACAACTTTGAACCATTTAACCATAGGTAAATAAGAACAAGATTAAACTTTATTGTCATTGTGCATGTACAACGACAATGAAATACAACCAGAAGTGCAAAGGCAGTATTATTTGTATTTATAAGTGCAGGAACGTGAGTACTACAGCTTAAGTGATGCTATAACTTACAATATCCACGTGGTGGACAGTTGCCATATACAGATATACAGATAGATAGATAGATAGATAGATAGATAGATAGATAGATAGATAGATAGATAGATAGATAGATAGAAATACTTTATTCATCCTCGAGGGGAAATTCATGTGAATAGTATAAATAAATACATCCCTTCCATTTTAATATCAAATATCAATGTGAGACATTTTCATGTGATCCTACACAAAATGAGCAAACAAAAAAAAACATGCGGATATGAACGCACCGAACTTTTACGCTCACGTCATCAAAATGCGTCCAGCGGCACAGGCCACAGGTTGTAAGTTACATTTACGTAGAGAAAATAAAATGAGTGTAAATTGACGGTGTGAAAATAAAGTAATGAAATAAACTTCTACTGAACTCACTTTACTTTGAAAAGTCAGATGATAAACATGTATTTGTCTAACCGCCATGGTTGTGTTTTTATTGTGAAACGCAGTGAGCGGAAGCGGAAGTGTGTGTGAGTGAGTGCAGCTTGATGCCGGTGTGAACCTCTTCACAGTCTGTGGTGTGAACCGGATCCAGAACCGGATCCAGAACCGGAGCCTCAGTGTTTCAGCCCTGAAGTGAACTCGACTCTCCGGTAACAAGCTGAAGATTTTTATTCTTTCACATCTGAACTGATTCATTTCTACACAAAAGTCCATGTCGCTCTTTAGCTAAGTGGCTAATTAGCCTGCAGGGTGTCATTACTGCTGCTGAGCGGAGCTAGCTGCTAGCTTAGCTTGGTTCTTAGCTTGGTTCTTAGCTTCTCTGCTGAGAAACAAAAAGAGAGAAAGTGAAGATTTGAATGTGATGAAGAGAAGAACCAGTGAAGTGTGACTGTGGCTGAATGTAGAGACACAGAGTCTCTGCTCGGAACTCACGTTCTACACTTTCAATGGTTCTCACATGTTTTCAAATCCACGTTTATAGAAGTTCTGTGTGTGTGTGTGTCTGTCTGTCTGTCTGTCTGTCTGTCTGTCTGTCTGTCTGTGTGTGTGTGTGTGTGTCTGCAGGGAACTTCAGCTACAACTCATGATATATTAT